AGATACCCAAAGTAATACTGAGTAAGAACACAGCAGGAGGCATCACAATACCTGACCTCAACTTACCCTACAGGCTTATGCAGAGTCTACGATGCTCTAGTGATACAGACAGCTTGGTACTGATGTAAAAACAGACGGGCAGACCAGTGAGAAAAAAAACAGAGGACCTGAAAATATGCTGACAAAGGAGGCCAAAATTTGCAATTTGAAAAAGAGCCTGTTCAACAAATGGTGCTGATGAAACTGGACACCTACCAGGAGAATAATGAAAGTAAATATGTATCTTTCACTTTGTACAAAAAAATCAGTTGGAAATGCATCAACAGTCTTAAATCTGAAATGCTGAAACTGCTAAAGGGAATACTCTTCAAGACATAGGTTAGGCAAGAACTGTCTTTAAAAAAAAAAACCTGCAACAGCAGAAGAACAAGCCCCAAGTATTGACAGGTGGTATGGACCACAGGAAGTTAAAAAGTTTCTGCACAGTAAAAGAATCTGTCAACAGACATGGGCCAAACAAACAGCCCAAAGAATGGTAGAAGATCTACCAGCTATCTTTTTGGGCGAGAGTGGGGCTGATATTAGGAATTTACGAAGAACTTCAAGTATTCAACACCAAACCCCCCTAAAGTTGCCAATCAGCTGGATGAATGAAATGAACACTGTTCTCAAAAGAAGAAACACAAGTTGCCAGTAATGATTTTTTTGAAGCATTGAACATCCCTCCTCATCAAGAAAATGCAAAATAAGAGTGCTTTGGGATACCTGCTTACCCTAGCCAGAGTGGCTGTTATCAACAGGTCTAAAGCAAATATTGGGAAAAGGGGAACCTTTATTCACTGCTGGCAGGCGGGAAAGTCAATACAGACAGTATGGAAGTTACTCTGGAAGTTCCCTAACAGATAAAAAATAGATCTACCATAGACTATTCCTGCTCTTCCACTCCTAGGCATATACTCAGAGAACTCCCTATCCTACCATGGAGACATGTTCATCTGCATCTTTATCGCTGCTTTATTTATTATACCAAGAACGTGAAACCAACCTAGTTGGCTATCCAACCATAGATGAATGGGTAAAGAGAGTGTGTGGTACATATACAAAATGGAATGTCATTTACCTGTAAAGACAAAGGAAATAATGACATCTACAGAGAAATGGATGGACGTGGAAGGTACAGTATTTGAGGAGTTGACCCAAACTCAGAAAGGTATGGATCCTAGCCTTCAGCGTGTGCTAGTATATATGTAACTAAGTCTAAGTGTGGAGGAGAGCAAGAGAGGGTGATACTAGGTGATGAGGAGGGACAACATGCAAGCAAGAGTACCTAACTCATGATAGAGTAATTAATTAAAGAAAAAACTTCACCTCTGTAATACTCGCTTTCTTTTTTGAGGTTGATAAGAAAATAAAAATGTGATTGATAGGGGCTGGAGAGATGGTTCAGGAATGAGGGATATTGGCCACTTTTTCAGAGGACCCAAGTTCTATTCCCACATGGCAGCTCACAACCATCTGTAACTCTAGTCCCAGGGGCTCTGATGTCCTCTTCTGGTTTCTGTAGGCATCAAGCATGCGTATGGTACACAAACACATGCAGAAAAACTCTGCTGCAAAGAACATAGAATAAAATAACTGGTCATGGAAGTTCAAAACCCTGAGTGAAGCTCCATGGCTTCCAGTGGCCATGAAGCAGGACAGTTCAGAGAAGTGTGGAGCTTAAGACAGGGCAAGTGTTTGAGTGGCTTCCTTAAACCGCCTATGTGATGTGTTTGTATGTTAGCAAGAATAAAGCATTTAAAAAAACGTATAAAACAGAAGAAATCAAATATAAATATATAAGAAGGAAAAATTAAATTAGGAAGAGATTAAGTGAAATAATAGAAAATTACAGAGAAAACAAGTTTACTTCTTTGACATGATCAAGAAAATTGACAAAGATGTTAAGAAAACAGACTCAAATTACTAAAATTAAAGGTGAAAATGGGATGTTCATCCTAATTCTGTGGAAGTAAAAGAAAGGCTGGTGCACAGTTGAATGTCCACCAGTTGGACGGCCCATGTGAAATGGACAAATTCTAGAAACACAACAACTACCACAACTAAATCATGACAATAATCTAAATTGACTCATAACTAATAGGGTGTTAAAAACAAAAATTAAAAATCTCCCAACAAAGTTAAGTCTAGATCCAATGGCCTCCAGATGAAAACAATTGAAGATTTCACACAACTCCTCAAAATTTTCTCTAAATTTGAAAAGGAGATACTATTTATCAACCTAGTACATGAAGCCAGCAATACCTTGATGACACGGAAAGATGCTACAAGAAAACTATAGCGTAATATTTCCCAAAACAGAATTGACTGATGAGGAACGCCAATAAAGCACAGCAAAGTAAGTCCAGTAGCAAATTAAAACGGCGATATGTTCTTTCTAGAAAGCAAGGATTTTCTAACCCGTGAAAACTGGCTGATATAAAATGTCACATTAACAGAACGAGGGGAGAAGCCCTAACATTATCATCTCAAATGAAGCATAAAACAAATTTGGCAAAATCTAACTCACTTTCGTGACAAAAAGAATCAACAAACTAGTGACAGAAGAAAACCACTTGAACAGAACAAAAGCCATGAATGGAAAAAAACCCATTACATAAGATTGAAAGTGTTTATTTGTAGGTATCATAAAACATCTTTAAATAGCTATGTTAAAACCAGTATTGGAAGTTCGAGCCAGAGAAATTAGAGATGGAAAAGAAAAAAGGCAAAGGTAAAGGGAAGCAGAAAGATGTTCTATGCTCTCATATTGTATAGGCTTGGTTTATGGTATGCCCCATAGGGTCCATAAAGAAGGAGTATGACCTCTTAAATGAATTGAGCTACATAGCAAGCAAAATTAGTTGCTATGAACAACCTGGAGAGGAAGTTACCAAAATGATTCAATTTTCAGTAACATCACAAAAGAAGTAAAAAAAAAAAAAAAAAAGTGTAATAAAAACTATAAACTGTTGGGGGCCTGGAGAAACCACTCAGTGGTTAAAAGTGCTTACTGCTCTTGCAAAGGACCAGGCTCAATTCCCAGCACCACAATCATCTGTCATTCTAGTTCCAAGAACTCCAGTGCCCTCTTCTGGCCTCCATGGGCACTGCACCCACGTGGTGCACACAGTCATATAGATAAAAATCATATTGTCTGGCTCCCAATTCTGATGCTTCTTCTGCTTACTGGTTTGCTGTAAGGTGAGGGGCCTTGAGCACATGCTCCTGCTGCTATGAACTCTGCTATATCTTCCTTTGTCAGTGGACTGACACCCTTGGAAGCCATGAATCAGAATACATCTTTCCTCCCATAAGCTGTTTTGTCACTAGGATACAAAAGCGAGCGACACTCTAACAAGTCACATCTTTTACTCCTAAAACTTATTGCAAGGCTTCGGTCATCAAAATAGTGTGTTATGAACATACAGACGGGACCCATGAAATAGAAGAGAGAGACACTAGACAGAAACCCTTGAAACATCATGGCCAAATATTTGTTGACGGGGGATGCTGAGCGCATTAGAGAGCGATCAACAGTCTCTAAACAAACAATAGTGAGAAAACTAGGCAGCCACATGTAAAAGGAAGAAGCTGGACCCTTACTGACACAATATACAGAGTCAACTCAAGATGAGTAAAAGCTTAAGCGTAAAGACTCGCAACTGCAGAATTCTTACTAGACACAGAGCGGAGCATTCCCGTGGCACCTGTAACACCAAAGGCATAGGCAGCAAGAGAAAGGTGGGATGGTTTAAAATCCATCCATTAAAAGACTACAAGAAAATGTCAACAGATGAAAGAGGCAACCCACCACATGGGAGAAAATATTTGTAAGTCATTAGGCCGACGTGGAATTAATACTCAGAATATACAGAGAGCACCTGAGGCTCAACAAGAAGAAAAAAAAAATCCAATTGAAAATGGGCCAAGCGGGCTCTTCACAGGAGTTCTACCCTGGGGACAGCATGAGTTCCTCAGGCATCAGGGGAGATTTAAATGAATCTGGTCACGGGCGTAGAAACCCACAGCTGACTGGGAATGTCTGGCAGAGACACCAGGGAGGATGCCGGGGATGGGAGCCACACTCGGCTCTTTGCACCCTGTGAGAGGGGTTGGCTTTCCAGTCTGGGGCCATGGAGAGGCCTGTTTTTTCCAGTCTGTTTTGTCTACCCAGAAAAGGGAACACCACAAGTCTTTCTGGACTTAGAAACCTGAGAGGAGGTGAAAGAAACCGGAAGTCAAGACCCACAAACACTGTGGTTGTTGTTGTTCCTTTTCTTTTTCATTTTTGTTTTGGTATGCAGTGTGCGTGCATGCGTGTGTGTGTGTGTGTGTGTGTGTGTGTGTGTGTGTGTGTGTGTACACATATGTGTATGTGGGGGCTAGCACCAGCATGTGCACTTGACTTGTGGAGGCAAAGGGACCAACAATGTGTGTCTTCCTTTGTTATCCTTCACCTTAATTTTTGAGACACAGACTTCACTAAATGTGAAGCTTACCATTTGCACCAGAGTGGGTGCCCAGGGATTTCCCAGGATCCTCCTGCCTCCACCCCTGCTGGGATTACAGGTGTGCACCTGCCGAGTTTTTCACGTGTGTTCTAAGGATGTGAACTTAGATCCTCATGCTTGTGTGGCACTTGTGTATCACTGAGCTTCTCCCTACCCCCTTTCTGTTTCTGGGTGGACAAGAGACCTTTCTCCTGCCACACTTTGCTCTCCAACTAGGAACAGTATCCTCCTGGGCATCACCCACAGGCTTTCCCAGATCAAGTGCTCACTCAGCATCGGTGACAACTGCTGTGCTCCCACTGACTATTCACGGTAGGTTGCCAGAAGGCCAAGTGTGCATTGAAAGTGCCTGGGCTATGAGGGGTCTGAATGCTAGGACCTGTCTTTAGTGCTTTATTCTCAGAACACGAGCCCAGAGGTGACAGCGATGTCACCCAGAGTGCTCACCTGGATAGAGCCTGAAGAACCCAGTTGAGCTGCCAAAATACTGCCAGGTCAGGGTAGGGTCTCTCTGGAAGTTCTCCACAAACACGGGGTTCAGGGCCTCGGACATATAGACCCCATTTAAAATGTCTGGGTCTGGAGGTGAGAACACAGAAGGGGCTTCAGGGGGAATGGAGTTAGAAGCGCACAACTTGGACTGCACATGTAAAAACAGGTGAGCTCGCCTGCCTCCCTTAGGGCTGCATCTGGCTCGCACACAGCCCGTGCTCACTCATCCAGAGGCATCGCCTTTCTCCCAGCCCGCGTGCTGAGGTTTGGACGCAGCCTGTGTGTGTGTTCCCAGGGCTTGCGTTGGATGCGTGGTGTGAGAAAGGACAGAGTTTAGCGGGGAGGTGGTTGGACCACCGTGGGTGCTGCCCTAGGACAGAGATTTTTAGAATTCTATGGACTCTGGTGAGTTCTTTTGAAAGTGTTTCTGTAGAAGGGAGAGGCTAGCTTTCCCCACTCTTCAGCCTCCTGCTTCCTTGCGTGGTTGAGCCCCCTTACACAGACCCCCCAGCATGACACCCTTTGCCACAGCGGGATGCAGCCGGGAGGCTCACCAAAGCACTGCCATGCTGGCTAAACTCAGCTGCCCAGACCTTGAGCCCGGGAAACCTCTCCCATGCTGTTTAGCTTCAGATGTTCTGTCACAGCAATGGAAAACAGAACACTCTGCCTGTGTAGAGTGATTTCTCTTCTCATCCTATCTGGGAGGTTGGAGGGAACAGCTAATGCCCTGTAGTGCGTCCGGGGAAAACAGACACGAAACGTTTAAAACCTTCCAGGATCCCCATCCTGCCCCCTAGACTGCCCAGTGGCGAGGGCACGGTCACCTTTGTTGTACACGTTGGTGGGCAGCTGTACATTGCTCATGGAGACATTCACCCTCAGGTTGCTGAAGTGCGCATTGGACTCGAGGAGAAACTCGTCTCCCAGCTCCACGTAGTTGCCTTTCTCATCCTTCTCATTGATTAGCACCGAGTTGTAGTAGTTAAACTGGGGAGGGAGGGGAGCAGGAAGGTCAGAGGATGTGAGGCCAGGCCGGGCTGGATGGGTTGCCGGAGCCCAGTGATGCCGCACTTGGGGTGATGAGGTCACAACACACATGAAGATAACTGGATGAGGGGTGTCACTGGCTGATGGGGCTCCAATTGGCTCAATCATTGCTTTGGTTCTCCACTTGGCTTAGTGGATGGTGGCAAAAATCACAAGTCAGAAGCAGACAGACAGACAGACAGACGACAGACGGATGGAGACTCAAGGAGCCAAGTGGAGGCAAAAGACCATGTCAGCACTGTCAGTTTCTTTCCAGGTGGTGAGGGCCCTGGAGAGTCAGATGGTTCAAAGAGCCTCTGGGGCCTTGCCCTGCAAGCGGACCTGTGTCCTGCTCTGTTTCCTCCCCACAGGGCAGGAAGGCTGTGAGCCAAGGGACCATAATTGGAGCCATTTCTTCCCTACTCCCTCCACACTACAAGCCTCATACCTTGACCCCTCTAGAACTGTGGCCACAACACCCCTTCCAGCTCCATCTTGCTGCCCCTGCGTCAGTATTAGCTCTGTGAGCTCAGGTCCAGCTAGGTTCCTCCCTGACTACTCCAGCTTTTACAAGCTAGAGAGCTGCTTAGTCTTTTTGTCAGCTTCACACAAGTTTGGGCCATCTTGGAAGAGGCATCCCCAAATGAGAAAATGCTTCCATCAGATCGGCCTGGAGGCAAGCGTGTGGGAGCATTTCGTTGACTAATGATTAGTGTGGGAGGGCCCAGTCCACTGGGGAGAGGCATGCCGCCCCTGGGCAGCTGGTGAATGGTTGTATAAGAAAGCAAACTGAGCGAACCAAGGGAACACCCAGTAAGCATTTTCCCTCCATGGCTCTGCTTCAGTTTCTGACTCCAGATTCTTGCTTTGAATTCCCTACCTTGGCTTCCCCCCACTGACTATTATGATGTGTAAACCTAATAAGCCCTTTCCTTCCCAAGTTGCTCTTGGCCATGGCGTTTCCACAGTAATGGAAAGCAACCAGGACACCGGACACCCAACACCCCACGCCACTTCTGGATCCTGGCCTTTCTCAGGTAATATCCCATCCTACTGTCCCCTGGACAGAGGGCTTACACTCATTGCATCCTTAACCAACCGAGCCTTCTTCTTCCTGGGCCTTCACCTATCTCAGCACAGAGGCACTCCTCAGCGCCTGAGGTTCCCAAGTGCCTTCCCTGGGGCTGCCCCTGCTGAGCCTTCCCTCTTCCATCTGCTTCCCAACTGCTCGCTGTTCCACCCACGCTTTCTCTACACCATCTCTGAGAGCATCAGGAAGTGGGGAGAAAGGCTCGCTGACCAAGCCAGGGGACATAGAATGAGCGGCTGCTGCCCGGCTCCCCTCACAGCTGGTACTCCAGCTGCTATGGGGGTGGGTCGGGGCCAGCCAGCCTGGCACCCACTCCCTAGACTTACCACCAGAGATGCATTGAATTCATGATTCAGGTCAGCCTCCTCGGCGGCCTCCACCAGGCTCTGAGGGAGGCAGAGCAAAGGGAAGGGACAGTCATCAGCAATTGCCTTCCTCTGCCACCCCAGCCCAAGCTCTCTGCTCTTCCCTCTCCTTTTCAACCCTCTGCTTCTCTCGCCCTTTCAGCCATGAGGCCCCAACCTCCACGGTTCCTAGGTGCTCTGTGGTGCTCAGGTGACCTTGTCCCTGAACGTCTACAAAGCCTTCCTGGGAACAGGAGGCTCTTGTAGGCTATGTACCCTGATGCCTGTGGTGACCTGGTTAGTATAATAGTCTGTACTGCATTCAGCCAGGAGACGGCCATCTACGGTCAGTGGAGTCCCTGAGAAGGTCCACAAGGCCAGTGCTGGGGGATGGGCAGTGGTACCTTAATGGCCTCGGCTTTCCTCCGAAGCATGGTCTCCATGTCTTCCGAGAACTTCTTCACCAGCTCCAAGCCATCCACCTCTTTGATCTTCAGACTGGGTTCTGCGTCCTTGTACTTCTGAAAAGAGCAAAGATGGAAAGAAGTATATCTTTGCTCTGGACCAGGGTGCCTGTATCTGAATGCAGCAGGGCCATTCTTGTCCTAAAACCTTACCAGCTCCCCTACAGTCAGATCCCCACCCCACCCCATGACCTCCTAATCATAGCCTTCAGTGTCTGTCTTCAGATGTTCTCTGTGCAGGCCTCCAGACGGAGGAAAGTGTTTATCCTCAATGGGAGTTGACTGACATTAAACCAGTCAGAGGGAGTAAGATGGGCAGCTTAGGGGAGACTGGACACTGGGGGAGGTGGGGTACCAGCAGTCCCTGTTCCTTGCAATCCACAGCTTTCATGATGCCCAATGAGATGCCTGTGAAGGTGACTGAGATTCAGCCTCAGTGTCCATGTGTCCATTTTCCTTTGGTCAGCTCCTGAGAACAGGAATCCTCTCTCTCTCTCTCTCTCTCTCTCTCTCTCTCTCTCTCTGTGTGTGTGTGTGTACCTGCATCCTACTGAGGGACCTAACGACAGTTCCAGGAGAAGTGATGCCAGTGAGTCCAGGCTAGCCCAGGAGTCAGTTTCAAATTCCTATCTGCCCAGAGACAATCCAGAATGAGTCACCAATGACTCTTGACTAGCCCTGTAACCTGTTAGTCCCGTGATCTTAGGCAGGTTACTCAGCATCCTCCTCTGTAAGACATGATGCTTCTCTAGCATTTGACAGTGCTGTAGAATGCATAGCTTCGATTAGATAATGCTTTTACCCCAAATGACTGCATAATCCCTTCTCATCTTCCTCACCGGCGGCTGCAGGGTTCAAAGAGGGAAATCAAACAGGCTGTTGTGGAGTATTGTGAGGGCTCTTAAGTTTTCGAGAGCCCCCAAGGGTCCACCCTGGCTCCTCCCACTTTCTGAAGCACAAAGGGAATGAGAGCTCCCTCTCAGAGTGTGCACAGAGCTGGCATAAAAGCTGAGGATGCCATCATTTGCAAGATGGAGAAGATGCCTCTTGGGATTGTGGAAATTTGAATTAAAGCATGTTGCAGTCTCTTAGGTTATGGTGCTAACAGAAGGCAACGCCCTTGAGAACGTGTCCAGGGAGTCGGGTACCAGAAAATGATGCCGGCTCAAGAGCTGGCTGAGCACGGGTCAGCCATGGATATGCACTTGAGCACTTAATGAACAAGGACGACAAGGTTGCCCTTCTGTCAGGCCCACTTCTGCTGGGAGCCAGGCACAGGCTCAGCCTGCCAGGGCACAGGGGGGATGCTGTGTCCCTGGGTACAGCCTGGGTGCCAGTGCCCACCAGAACCTCCATGCTTGCAGAGAGGAAACTGACACCCGCTGCTTGCAGCTGGCAGCCTGCTGCCCCTTCTGGCCCCCTGTCCGTGCTCTGATCAGCTCTCTCTGGCTCCTTCCCAGGCATCCACACCAAACCTCCACCACCCACCCAATGAACCTCTTGCATGTCTAATCTCATCCTTGGCTTCCTGAGGATCTGAACTGACAGAATGCTCCTGACCCCACTGTCAAAACTGGTTAGCCCTCGGAGTAGAGCCTCTCTGGGCCCCATCTGAATATGAGAAGATTGACAGAGATGGTCTCTCGGGCCTCCTACAGCTGTGATGTTGGGAGTTCCATCCCTGTCTGGGAAGAGGCCCTCTGACCATACTCGAGCTTCCTGGAAGAACACTGACCTTCTGCAGCAGGAGAGAGCCTGAGTATCTGGTCACCGTGTTGTACAGATTCCTGCCAAAGGTATCAGCCCATAGCTTCACTCTGCAGGATAGGGAAGCCTGTGAGCACATTCTCATGAGGATTGGATGCCAGATCCTCAAAGGTGACAGCTGCATTGCATACATACAAAGCAGGCGTCTCAAACACAGGCACACTTGTGACCCACAGACATCCATGTGTACACACACACACACACACACACACACACACACACACTGACCAACACCCAACATTCCTGTGATGGTTAGCTTTAGTTGTCAACCTGACACAACCTAGAACCACCCAGGAAGAGTCTCAAGGAGGTACTGTCTGTATTGCATGCCTGTTGGGGGACTGTCTTAATTAATTGATCTGGGAAGATCCAACTCATTGTGGATGGCACCATTCCCTAGGCACTCGTCCCGAACTGTGTGAAACTAGAGCAACTGAGCTGAGCACAAGGGAGCAAGCAAGGAAGCATGCATTCACTCCTCTCTGTGCTACGTTGCATTCCCTGCTACGACGGACTGTAAGCCAGAATGGTGAGCAACCTCTTTCTACCTTAAGCTAGTTGTGTCAGGGTGTCTATCACAGCGACAGAAAGTAAACTGTCCCCCGAAGTTGCAGCCTGGCCCGGGAGGGGAACTAGAGGACTCATGGGGGTCTGTGGCTGCTCCAGGGCACCATGCACACTCTGCCTGGATTCAGAGGACCAAAGAGCTAATGGGCTCAGAATGAATCCTGCCCTTATGGTATCAAGGACCTTTCGGTGAGACAGGAAAGAGGAGGGAAAGTCTGTGAAGGTCTGGACCAGAGCGGGAAAGCCCTGAACCAGCTTGCAACTTCCTGAGCCAACCTGCACATTTCAATGATCGGTCCATTACTGTGTGTCTAATGGAGGTCATAAGACCCTGACCTGTTGAACCCCCACAGGCACTGGGGGCGGGGTGGAATGCTGCAAAGTCCTTGTCTGGGCTCTAAGAGTAGGGCAGGCTGGGAGGGTAACCTGATGGGGGCCTTGCCCCCTCCTTCCTTCCTAGAAGGTAGGCTCCCAGTCTTTCGGGAGCAGGCAGCCAGAGCAAGTGTGGTTCCTTTAAGGTCAGCAGCACAGACTGACACCGGCGCTTACTGAGGTGTGACTGTATGTCATGCTATCTCCACAGTGGCCACACCCCATACGGACACCCTTTCCCATGGAGTAGTGTGGTACGCCTTGGCGGAGGATGGTAACCATGGAGAGGGAAGGGGTGGAGGAGGCAGGCTCTGAGTTCAGCATCTAAAGAGAAGTAAAGGTTAGCCTGGTGAGGAGATTTGGAAGAGAATTCTGGGTAGAGAGCTCGGAGGAGTGGAAAGTGCCTTCAAGGCCTCCAGCCTGGCTTGTTGACTGTAGCTGAGAAGATAAGGAAGGTCGCCTTAGTGAATCAGGAATTGGGGAAGGCGATGCATGCAGCTTGGGCCATGTCTGACACAAGGCCACCGAGTGTACCTTAGGAGCTACCAAAACATTGACAAACTCCCATGATGCTCAGGAGGAAGTGTGCATACCCATTGAGTATGGGAGTCTGACAGGTAAGAGACTGGGTGGAGCCACAGGACAGGAACAGGACTGAGACACTGAAGGCAAATGGACTCTTGTCAAGGAAACTGTGTAGTATGGGTTGATCTGTGATGACAGGCAGGGGGGATCTTGTGGTTTCAGGGACATGCAGATGGCAAGGTTCTCTTGAGGGTGGCAGAGAAATCACTCAGGAGACCACGAGAAGCCAGTCCCTGTGTTCAAGAGAAAAGGGAGCACTCCAAAATGCCAGGTATGGAGGGCACCCCTGATCTCTAGGATCAGTCACCAGGAGGCTTTTGGCTTGTGTATAAAGGGCAAGTGGCAGTGGCTGAGGGCCCATTGGAAGGCTCAACAGGATGGGGGAGGGGAGAGGACTGCAAAGGACCTGGTGAGAGAGGGAGGAGTGGGGGTGGCAGAGCTCTGTCCTCCTGGGAAAGGAAGGCAGCAGCAGGGCTATGTGGAGGTGGCTATCCCATGCTGCCCTTGAGGTTTCTGTGTGGATGGCCACCCTGGATGCCAGCCATCTTTTCTTGGCCCCCTGCCACTCTGGAAATTGCCTTCTGAGATAACTGCTCAGCTTGTGCAAGGCTGCAGGGGTTTGTCTCAAAAGCCAGGCAGGCTCAGCAGGACAGATTCCAGCACTTTCATCTGGGGGGCCTGCGTGCTTGGAGAACGGTAGTACCTCTCTCACTGAGAGATTGCCTGGCCCGAAGCCATCACTGTGACAGTGCTAAGCAAAGCAGGGGGGAGGGTCACGCCGTGTCATGGAAGCCTACTCTTCCCAAATCACAGGTACTTCATGGGCCCCTGTCCTGACAGCGAGGCTCACAGTGTACTCACAGCAGGGGCTCTGCCCTCTTACCCTGCCCCATCCTCAGTGGGAACACCAGGCCAAGATGCCCCACACTGCCTTCCAGCCACCACCTGGACCACTGTGGACAGTGGATAGCAGAGCGGGCTGCATAGATTTGGTCTAGGATGCTCAGCTCCCTTTAGTATCTGGAACGTTTCCTGACTGAAAACAAACCCCCAGAGAGAATTGTATCAGGTGTAAATTATGGGTGCCAATTTCTTCCCAAACACCAGGCTTACTTTGCAGTGTAGAATCAAAGCCTTGAAGGAGGCAGAGAGTCATAGAAAGAACAAGACCATTGAAACCCATCCTGAGTTCCTAGACAAGGCCCTGGTGTGTCTGTAGGCACCATCATGCCCGTATGTTTATAGCCGCCTGTCCATTTACAGACACTTTGACTTTTCTCAGGATTCAAGCAGAGATCACTCAGTGAGTCCTGTGGGGGTAGGGCACAGTAGTCACTGCACAGAAGCACTGCACAGAAGCATTGCACAGAAGCACTGCAGCTCAACCCCACACTATCTTGTAGCTATCTTCCCTGCTGGGTGCCTGCCTCCTCATCCAGCCCTGCCATCAACCACACAAAGCCAGAAGGTAAGGGCAGGTGGACTCCAGAGTCAGCAAGGGTATGAGGAGGGCAGGAGATAGGGGGGAAAGGGTGTTTCAGAGGCAGGGCAGCTGGCCAGAGGGAGGAGGCTACAAGAAGGGTCTTCAGGGTAGGCTCAAACTCGAGGCTCACGTTTCCAGAGGAACTGTGGTCTGGCCCCTCACAGCAGGCAGGGAGGTGTCCAAGAGCAGCAGCCACAGGATGAATGGCATCTTCGGCAGGAAGGTCCACGCTGCTGTCCACTGTCCACAGTGGTCCCGGTGGTGGCTGGAAGGTGCTGTGGGGCATCTTGGCATGGTGTTTCTCCCGGGCATGGGGCAGGGGAAGAAGACACAGCCCCTGCAGTGAGTGTGCTTGCTGCCCCCCACTTCCCCGGGCATGCAAGTGTTCTGCCTGCTGGCCAGTCCCAAGTAAAAGAAACTGCCTCCAGTTGCAACCAGCAGAGGGTCCACCCCAGGTGATCAGATGCTTTGCCGTTGGCCGTCCAGAGGGAGAGGCCCTGAGCAAGCACCCCCCCCATCTAATCCATCAGCCTCTCCTCTAATCCCTTCTGTTGTCAGAGGAGGGGGCTGGTGCAGGAGTGGGGTGACCTCAGCAGGATTGCCCTGATTCCAGCTCTGAGCAGCTGGTCTAGCATGCCCTTCTGTTCCAAAGAGGCCAACCTGTATCCTCTGAACTCAGTGGAATGAGCATGCCCACCTTGGTAGCTGTTTGTTCAGAGCTGTGCTAGGCCCAGGCCCTGAAGGATCTTCCAAGCATCCTTGGGACAGCACAGCCAGCCCACTCTGTAGGGGCTAGGCTCTGTGGGTGCTGAGGGGGAGAGAGGGGAGGAGGCAGTATGGCTCGTGTTTCCAGGCCTGGAGCTTTGGGGCCAGCCAACTGAGGCAGGCAAGCATAGAGTCAACCTCAGCAACCTGGAGCTTCACTTGCCCGGGAGGGACATATTCCTCTTTTCTAACAATGTACTTGGCGACCAAGCACTTCCATGCTGTTCAAACACATCCCTCTGCAAACAGTGTTTCTCACCAGAGTTTTGACCTGCTGAAAAACAAACAACAACAAAAACAACATACTTATTAAACAAAGTTTCCCCATCCCCTCCTGGAAGTCACCGCTCCACTTTCTGTCTTTGATTTTTGACTGTTTCATTTTAGTGAAATGTCATTGTCATCTTTTTATCACTGTCTTACCTTACTTAGCATAGTGTCCTTAGTTCACACATGTAACCTGTACCAGACAGCTTTCTTTTTAAGTCTGTATTCTTTTACCATGAGTATGCATGTAGCCTCATGACCAATAGACATTTGGTCAACCATCACATTACATTAGTCAAAATTCTCTGTATATCTTTTCCCCCTCTAGGTTACAAGCCAGTCACTTTCCATGGCCTAACTTGGGGGTTCTTCTGGATTGCCCCTTATGTGCCCCTCTGGAGTCTCACTGGTATGGCCAGCCCTTGGAATCCAGGACTCTTCCATCCATGGATCCACCATCAGGAATCCACCATGGGATTCCTGCACAGAGCCGGCAAACAGTTGTCTCCTGATACAGATGTCCCTCTATATACCTTGCAGCCCTCGGTCTGTGCTGGCCCTTGGGTGGTCAGCTCCAGCTGGCATCCTTCAGTCACTGCCGTACCTCCCTGCTCTCCTTGTATCTGGTCTCACCAAGCATGCCTGTCAATCAGCCGTGCACGGGTTACCTCAAGAAGTCCCTGTACCTCCTGTGGCTCCTGTCTGACAGCTGGTCTCCTTGGCTCAGGGACTCTTGAGAATGTAAGGCCTTTGTCCTCACCCTGCTCAGGGGATCTTGTGGCTGCCACCTGGCTTGAGTCAGACCTTTTTAACTGCAGGTCACAAGGTCCCATACCTCCCTGCTTTGGTCGCTCTTCCTACTCTGGTCCCTGCTGTTCCTTGGGCACATTGGATACGCTCTTCTTCAGGGCCTCCACCGGGGACTCTGTGGCCGGCTCAGTGGCTCTGCTCACAATGCTGCCAAGATTGGCGGGATCTTGCAGTTTGCTGTTACTGTGACAGGAGGTGTGAAATGGAGAGAGTGGGTTCTGTCCATGGTCCTGGAGAAAGGACACTGGGTTTTGGTGTGGGCCCATGCTGCCTTTCTCACCGCACAAATCGAAGGGGAGGAGAGGCTCGCAGACAAAAAGTTACCAAACCAAAACGCACGCACATGCCACAATGGAATCCATTCTGTGTTGGCCAGATAAATACTCCCGGGCATGGGGACTGTCCTAGAGTGGGGTTGATAAGCCCGGTGATGTTCCATTAGAGAGAAATGATTTTCCCCATCTCAGCAGATATCAACAGCAAATAGCTTCTTTCAGAGCTGGGACTTTGTGTCCACTTCCTTTTTAGAGGATTTTTTTTTCTTTTTCTCTAGTTTGGGTGTATTTGCAGTGGTTCATACTAGTTAAATATTCCTAACCAGGGATTTGAAATCTGAGACGATCTGATCAGAGCCATCACTTCAGAGTCCCATCTTTCAGGCAAGACCAATCTCCCAGGATGGCTTTGAAGTCACTACGTAGCCAAGGGTGACTGTGAACTCCTGATCCTCCTGTTTCTACCTCATGAGCGCAAATGAACACACACAGATAGTCACACACAGATATGCACACACACACACACACACACACACAATTGCATGTACATATACACACACGCGCACACACACATGAATGCATACAAACCTTTATATATACATGGACATTATGTTAGTTTCTTTTCTGTTGTAATAAAAAATAATGGCAAGGCTACTGAAATAATGAGAATCCCATAGCTCACCAGAAGGCTAGAGGCAGATGGTCCCAGAATTGATTAATGCTGGTCAAAAATGTCACCAAAGACCCAAGTTACTTGTGCTGTCATCATCTGTCACGCTCAGGATTTTGGACTGTCCAGATGCTGCCGTTGTTCTGGGCACTGCACCCACGATAACACCTTGATGGAGGACAGTAGCTAATTTTTCCGTAGGTCTCTTGTGCTTGGTAAATACACTACCATGGAAGCTGCCCGGTAGACTTCCATGTACCTGTCTTTGGGCAGATAGCATTCTCCACTGTGCTGGAGGTGGCCAAGGAATAGGATACCAAGACCAAGTTAGAGCAATCACGTTCTCTCCTGGATGGGGCTGGGGCCACCCCCAAAGAAATGTAACCACACAGGCAATTCCAGAAAAATCTGAGGTCTGCTAAAATGGAGGCAGGGTGCGGGAGCTGCCTGCCACCAGCCTTTCAGGGTATCTGCAGCGTGTACACTAGGCTTCTCTCTTCTCTAGCCAGCGAGCACCCCTTTCTTAGGCCTTACAGAAGTCAGTGACGCCCCAGGGACAAGCTAGACCTGCTGAGTGCAACCTCCAAGATGTGGGCATTTTGGAGAAACTCAGCAAAGGGCGAGGTAGGTGGCAAGATGTGGGCGACAGGGCTTCTGTATTGGGATGCTATCAATTGTAGAGACCAAGGTTTTCAAATGCTCGTGGGTTGTCTGGGTTGAACAACCTCTTGCCACCTGTACAGCGGATTTGTAGAAGGACGCTGGCTTGTGGAGGCAAGGTCACAAGGGATACTGTATGTCTGGTCTGACAGGAGCAGGCACATTCTCCACCCAAAGAACTAGAACACCAAGACTAAGTTAGAACAGCCGCAGTTCCTTCATGGATGGGGCTGGGGCCACACAGGCAATTCCAAAAAAAAAAAAAAGGGTTTGCTAGGATGGAGGTGGGGTGGGGAAGGACAGCTGCCTGCTCTAGAACAGAATGGCAAGAAGCAGTTGATTAGATACATGCATGGCAACAAGGACTGAAAGCAGCAATGTAGCATTTGGTGGGAAAAACAAAGTCAAGCTTATAACACAACAGCATTGACAGAAATGAAAAGTATAGGGAATGATTGCTCAGAATGCAGAAATCACTAATAGAAAAATTATAACATATTTCACTAAAAATATGAGCATGTGTACCAGAAAAACTATTAAGAGGGTAACAGTGAACAACAAATGGGAAGAGTGTTTCTGTCCTCGTTGACAAGCGATTCATGTGAGAGTTTATGAAGAACAACCAACGTGGAAAAGCAAATAGGCCATGGGGAAATGGGGGCATATGTTGGTCAGGCTTTTCCCACACAATCATCTACAAACGGTCATCATTCTGTCTGCAGCAGGGCACAGACCATGAGCTATGGTCTGGAGTGGCTGGAAGGGTGGGTAATATCTTGCTGTGATGTGAATGTGTAGCTATTGGAGTTCATGTGTGGCCCAAGGAAGTGTCTTGGGGCTGGCAAATGTCTGCAGCTCTGTGTCTCACCGTTCTAGGGAATAAATAAGCTGAGAGGGCCACCACACCTTCTGTGTAAAAAGTATTCGTTGCTTTACTCATAAAAGTCAAAAGTCTGGAGACATCCAAGGTCTACCGAGGTCTAACAATTCAAACGTGAATACTACACAGCAAAGCAAACAAACACGTCGATGAGCAAAGCCGTCGGATAATAAAGAAGAGAGTCACACAATCGTATTTTTAGTGTGAAGCTCAAGATGAGCATCCGTGACAGCATGAGGTAGCCCAACTCATGCTACCTCATGCTGGGGAATTCCAGGTACTTGCATACATGGCCCGAGCTTGGAGAAACTTGCGCTTTGAGCACTTGATTTGAGTTTTCCAACTGAAGATATAATTAGCATAGCCAATGGGCCCAAATCCTGGTTTCTGCCCAGAAACATCTGCTATGTCATTGTGAGCCCCTGAAGGTCACCTGCCAATAAGCACAGTTGCTTTGAGTTGAATAGTGTCCCCTCTTGGATGCACATGTCCCAGTCCTGGCTTCCAGTACACCAGAGTGTGTCCTTGTTTGGAAAAAGGGCCACTGCCGTTGTTCAAGGTGAGCTCTTGTAATAGAGTGGATTCCTCTTCTTCTTTTATTTTTAAATTTATTTTTAATTTAATACCTTCCTCTCACCCTATTTACCCTATCCCCTCTGTCCCTGTCCTCAGAAAAGGGGAGACACCCCTCAATCCACCATAGCCCATCATGTCACATCAGGATTGAGCTCCTCCTCATCCACTAAGGTCAGGCCAGGCAGCCCCGCTAGGGCAAAGTGATCAAAAGCAGGCAACGGAGACCATTTCATAGGCAGCACCCACTCAACTTACTAGGGAGACCTACATGCAGGTCAGACTGCCCATATCGGTTACATATGTGTAGGGGCCTTAGGTCCAGTCCATGCATGTTCTTCGGTTGGTGCTTCCATCTCTGTAAGCCCCCACGGGCCTAGTTAGTTGTCTCTGTCGGTCTTCTTGAAGCATTCTTGTCCCCTTCAGGTCCTTCTATCCTTCCCTCTCACTCTTCCTCAGGACTCTTCGAGCTGCACCT